AATCAGAAACAGGCTCCAGGCTCCAAGCTATCAGCACAGAGCCCGATGCAGGACTCGAACCACAAACCGTGAGATCATGACCTGAGCCAAAGTCAAGAGTCAGATACTCAACCAACCAAGCCACCCAGGCTCCCCTCAAATTAGTATTAATTGCTTCTAATTTAACGATCTATAGAACATTTCATAACCAGCCTAGGTACCAATTCTCATCTTTTCCCATTCTTTATATGACTTCTAATCACAAAAAAGGAATACAAGCTTCGATAAAAATGAATGACAATTAGATTCTACCAAACTGAAACCACCACCTTTAGAAGGAATCAGATGGCCAGCTCTATAGGCCCAGGAGATTTTCTGTGATTATTCCTGGGAATATAGGCTTGTGGGAATCATTCTCTAATCTTAACTTTCTCTAAATCCTCAATCACAATTTATATTTGAAAAACACTTTTTTTTTTTTATCGTGAAATGTATACAAATAGGAGACATTAAAAACTCTTACTTATAAACAACATGATGGTTTATAACCAATGGTTCTCAAATGATGGTTTCCAGACTAGCAACAACGCTTCACTTAAGACCATCTTAGAAGTGCAGAAATGTGAATTATCAGCCTTTCCCCACCCCCAGACCTAGTGAATCAGAAAACTTGGGGTATATATACCCTAGCATTCTGGGCCTCCTACCATTTAACTATCTCTCCAAATAATTCTAATGCACACTGTCAAAGAAAATAATTACTTAAACTTACCCTCCTGAGAGAACAGGTAACACCACTCGAACAAATGGAGGATCAAATGGAAAATTATCCTAAAAAGCAAACAATCAAGTTTAATTAGTTTTAAGAATATCCTTAATACTCTGTTTATTTTGAAGATTTTTATATAGTCTATAAAGAATGTGTATATTTATTATCTGATGAGGGTCATAAAAGTACCAAAAATAAAAAGAAATAAAAACCAAAGGAAATAAAAATGATCAGGCCCAAACAAGACAGTGTTTTGGTAAAGTTATGAAAATTATGAAGGGGTTCCACTTCCAAAAGAATTATATAAAAGGAAACGTTCCAATAATGATAGACTAGGTAACTTTATATCAATCCTCTGGCTGAGAACTAGAAGAGGTAGACAAAATGTAACCACTACAGAGCTAAGATCAAGAAGAAAAAGGGAACCTCAGAGTGGGGCCCTTCTCCCTGCCTTGAGTTTTCTTTCAATTACAGAAAAGGAAGATGAGAGATCAAAAGCTCAGCAGAACTTAAGACTCGCAGGGCTAGAGAGATAAAAATTGGGAACTGGGGTCCAAGGAGAGGCCTGGACAAGTCTCCCACACTTTAGGCTGGGACCTGAAGAACAAATGACACATTGCCCTAACTGACAAGGAATGAAGTCCAGTTTTGTGTCACCTCAATCCCTGACAGGATTCTGTGATCCTGGGTTGCCAGTGTCCAAGCCTGACAGGAGTAAATGTGAACCCTCTTTGAAGAAGAATATCATCCAAGGCTTCAAATTAGTAAATTTTTCATATATAATGTTTGTTACTAAAAATAGCCAGTTACACAAGACTTAAAAACAAACATGACCAGAAAATGAGAGGCAAATGACACAAAAACCACAAGAGATCAAGATAACAGAGTAACAAACATAGATTTTAAAATAACCATGTTGAATACATGCAAGGAAAGAAAATGCAATATTGAAAACCCTGGCAAAGTACTAAAATTATAAAATGAGCCATAGAGAAATTCTGAAACTTAGAAATACAATAACTGAAATCAATAACTTAAAAGATGAATTTAACCACAGTAGAGACTTGGTGAAACTGAAATTCAGTGTACAGGAAAATAGGCCAGAAAACATCCAGAATGAAGCCAAGAGAGAGAATATGTAGAAAATGCAGAAAATAACAAGACACAGGGGAATGTATTGAAAGGCTTATCATGTATGTGGAGTCCTAGAAGGAGACAAAAGAATGGGACAGAAGCAATATTTGGAGAGAATGTCTGAGAATTTTCCAATATTGACTGAAGACTTCACAAGATTGAAGCACTATGACTATTTCAAGAAAAACAATGAAAACCCCAATGAGGGAATGATATATCTTTGAGCTGCTGAAAGTAATTTCCAACCTAAAAATCTATACCCAATACAAATACTTTCCAAAAATTAATTCACACTAAAGTTATTTTCCTGTCAGCAGACACAAGGAAATGTTAAAGGATATTCTTCTGGGGCGCCTGGGTGGCGCAGTCGGTTAAGCGTCCGACTTCAGCCAGGTCACGATCTCGCGGTCGGTGAGTTCGAGCCCCGCGTCAGGCTCTGGGCTGATGGCTCGGAGCCTGGAGCCTGTTTCCGATTCTGTGTCTCCCTCTCTCTCTGCCCCTCCCCCGTTCATGCTCTGTCTCTCTCTGTCCCAAAATAAATAAACATTGAAAAAAAAATTAAAAAAAAAAAAAAAAAAAAGGATATTCTTCAGGCAGGAGAAGCATGATCCTAGATGGAAATGTGGAGACTAAAGACCATGAAAAGAACAAATATGCACATAGATCTAAATGAATATTGATTAATTATATAATAATAATGTGCAGTTTTTAGGGAAGTACAGAAAATGCATGACAGCACATGTTTGGCAGGGCATCCATGTTCTAAGTCTCTGCATTGATAAGGAAAAATAAAATATAAATTAACAAATTTATATTAGACAAGGATATACATTATAATTGTAAGGGAGTAAAGAAAGGTAAGAGAACACGTATGCATGAAGCTGAAAGAGGAGAGAAACTGGAGTAATTTAAAAAAAAATCAAAAGAATGAGAAAAAGGAACATAGAATAACAAGGACAAATAGAAAGCACTTATGAGACAGAAGATTTAAACCCCAATATCAGTAATAACATTATATGCAAATAGACTAATTGCTCTAATTAAATGACAAAGATTAGCAGACTTGATAAAAAACGTATGAAGAGAAGATGAGAGAAAAGAAACCTTAGCTAATTTTCAGGCTACCAAGTACAATTCTTTTTTTCAAATTATCAGTCCTGGAAACAGCTTTCCAGAAGAACAAGAGCTTTTTCTCTTAATGAACTTAAACAACAACAGTAGCTGAGGTGGCCAAGAGCATTAGAGGTCAATCTCTGGGTAGCCAGAAAGCCAAAAAGGCTGCCCCTCATTTTCCTACAGCAATGGGGTAAGGAAAAAGCATACTGCCTCTAATAAAGATATGACAGGATGTCTAAGAGAAATTATCTCCAATTTTATGATCTAATAAAAGGAAGGAACTAATTGTCTCTTAAACCAATTTGAGGGTAAAGAAGCTAAACAAACATTTGTCTTATTTCCAAGGAACACAAAAATACAGTTTTAACTGCAAGAATAAGCAGCATTAAGTCCAGTAACTTACTTTTAACTCCCTACTTCCACCCATCCTCAAATAAGATTCTAAGGAACATATGAACTATGAAAATTCAATCCTAATAGGAGAGGAAGACAAAAAGCACACATCTGGTGGCTAAAACAGATAATCTTAGATTTCTACTTCAAGGGAGAATCTACCCACACAAGATATCAACCTAATAATAATTATAATCTACTTCCAAATAAGTAGCTCACCATTTATCTACAGTTTAATAGACATAATGAAAGGCACGGACACAAAGCTTGGTAAAGTACAATTTCATTTAATCTATTTTTTAGATCTTTAAATATGTGTTCCCAAATGATAAAGCTTTTTAAATTGATTATGTGGCAGTGAGAACTACTTTCATTTTAAGTAATTCTTCATTCAGAGTAACTCCTTCACATCAAAACCTAGGGACTATTCCATGAACTCTGTACCATGGAACTCAGTAATTAATATTTTACAGAAATAAGAGTTCCTTACAGGATTATAGCAGAGAGGTTGAGGATGACTTAAAATAGAAATTTGAGTTATCTTGGTATACTAACTCAGGAACTGAGAATCTCAAGGTTTACAAGGATCTCACAAAGTTTCCAATTCAGTATCTTGGCCTTCCAACATATTCTTTTTTTTTTTTTAAGTTTTATTTATTTTTGAGAGAGAGAGAGAGAGAGAGAGAGAGAGAGCGCTAGCAGAAGAGAGGCAGAAAGAGAGGAAGACACAGAATCTAAAGTGGGTTCCAGACTCTGAGCTGTCAGCACACAGCCTGATGTGGTGCCTGAAACCACAACCCGTGAGATCATGACCTGAGCCAAAGTCAGACGCTTAACCAATTAAGCCACCCAGGTGCCCTTTTCCAACATATTTTTAATGATAAGGAACATTCTATTTTTTTTTTTTTTTTTATTTATTTTGAGAGAGAGAGTACAGGTGGAGGGGGGTGGGGAGGGGCGGGGCAGGCAAAGAGAAAGGGAGAGAGAGAATCCCAAGCAGGCTCCATGCTACCAGCACAGGGCCCAACACAGGGCTCAATCTCATGAACTGCAAGATCATGACCTTTGATGAAACCAAGAGTCAGACACTCAACCAACAGAGCCACCCAGGTGCTCCAGGAGCATTCTCTTCTCAAAAGACTGTCACCAGATGAATAGTTATCACTTGAAAAATCACCTGTTTACAGTTTGACTTACTAGTTCTAATGTCATGTTAATCAAAACAAAAATCAAACTGCCAAATTAATAAACCGTCAATCAAAAACAAAATCAAACTAAAGTTTCCGCATACATAGCCCTTTAAATAGTTGAGGACAAACTCTCATGAGCCCCTATGTTCTTCTCTCCAAATCCACAATTTGCCCAGCTATCTTAGGACATAAAAATCTCTTTCAAATCCTTGCTGCTATTCTCTAAATGAATTCAAATTTGTCTAAATAAACCCTTCTTAAAGTAGTACCTCAGAATTCAGCTGAGTGATTTAGATATGGTTTTAAAAACCAGACCACCACTCCCTTAAAAGCACAGCACAAAAGATTTGCCACATTGCTGACAAATCTAATTGGTCCCCATTTTCTCTCCTGCCCCATCCCCAACCTTGTGTTGTTATATCTCAAGTTCCATTTTCTTATCACTCATGACTTTCAGGACATCTGAGGCATGGACATAAATACTGTTCATGCTCCTTCTTATAAATCCTTCTTTCTGGATAATACCTGCTATCCTTCCAAGTCTGTGAATCCTGATACTAATAACTTGGCAATTCAGTTTGCCAATGTCACTTAGTTCAGAGCAATCACATTCTTCCCAGGCCTCTTAAGAAATAATTCAGGCCTTGGGGCTCCTGGGTGGCTCAGTTGGTTAAAGCGTCCAACTTCAGCTCAGGTCATGATCTCATGGTTGGAGCCCCATGTCGGGCTCTATGCTGAAGCCTGGAGCCTGGAGACTGCTTCAGATTGTCTCCTTCTCTCTCTGATCCTCCCTTGCTCACACTCTGTCTCTCTGTCTCTTGAAAATAATTAAACATTGGAAAAAAAGAAGAAGAGAAGAGAAGAGAAGAGAAGAGAAGAGAAGAGAAGAGAAGAGAAAAGAAAAGAAAAGAAAAGAAAAGAAAAGAAAAGAGAAAAGAAAATATTTCAGGCCTCACAAGGCCCTTGTTTCTGGTATCAAGAGCCATGGTCCAGAAAGACAAATCCAGCGAATTTCAGCCATTTACCTCCCAGATTGTCCCCTCCCTTAAGTTCTACCTAGAGCAGGAAAATACCATGAAAACATTAAGTACAGCCACAAATCTTTCAGTTTAGTGGTCAAGATTTCATATTCCCTTAAAAACACCTCTCCAGGAGGAAGTGAGAAGGAAAGAACACACAGAGGACTTTCAAAAGATACTGCTTAAGAAGAAGAAGACAAGACATAGACCTGAATTTTTTTTTTTAACATAATTGACATAACTTACATTAGTTTCAGGTATAAGGTTTTCTTTCTTTTTTTTTTTTTTTAATGCTTTTATTTTTGGGGGAGAGAGCACACGCGCACAGGAGCCAGCGGGGGAGGGGCAGAGAGGAAGGGAGACAGAGGATCTGAAGTAGGCTCTGCATTGACAGCAGAGAGCAGGATGAGGGCAGGGCGGGCTCGAACTCATGAACCATGAGCCAAAGTCAACACTTAACCAACTGAGCCATCCTAGTGCCCCTATAAGATTCTATTTCTTAAGCTTGGTGTTGGACACCTGGGCATATGATTTAATACGACTGTTTATAGATTGTTCAGGTTAAAACATTTTGCATACACAATTTTTAAAAAAGGGGGGTACCTGCATGGCTCAGTCGGTTAAGCATCTGACTTTGGCTCTGGTCATGATCTCTCTCTCTCTCAAAAATAAACATTTTTAAAAATTGAAAGAAAAAAAATGCTACTGTCCTGGTTTATTTTTTCACCTTATGAATCAGTAAAAATACAGTCATTAGCAACTTCAGTAAATATATACCAGATTCACTCTCTAGAAGACAACCCAATTGACAATCATAAAAGTTTATATAATAACAAAATTGAGGGAAAATATAGAATTTGAGTTATTTGAAGAAAGTTCAATCATAAATGAAGATATATAACACACAAAAGCTACGCAAAAAGTTTTCAAAAAAATTACTTTTTGCAAGTATATTCTTTCACATCTTTGCTTCTTCCTTCAAAACCCCTCATTATCCCTCTACTCTCACCTATTCCTACCACCATCATCCTTCATTACCCCTTGCCCAGATTAAAATTAAAGTCCCAACTAGTCTCCCAGGTATCTACTCTCTCCAATCCAAACCCTATCTGATGCTGAAGACATCATAACTGTTTAAAATAATAATAATAAAAAGCCTAACAGATCAATCATGCCCCTACCTAAAAACCTGTACTGACTGGTTCTTTACTGTCTAAAGGTTAAGATTCCAGACTCTTCATCATGGTCTCCAAAGCAGTACAGCCTTCATCACAGATTTCTCCCTAGGAAGACTGCAGGCTCTTGCAGGAATTATATTTTAGATGCTTCCATGTCCTCAAGCCTTCTATAGCCCCTCTATAGCCCTAATGCACTGAAGTCTACCTAACTGAAATGGAAAAAATATATGTCTGTAAATTGCTTTCCGAATTTAAAAGAACACAGCAAATAGAAGCTCTATATAATTCAAATATAGCTCCTTAGAAATATATTTCCTAGGGTTTTTTTGAGACGAAAGATTTAAAACTACTACACTTATTTATCCATACTAAATCATTACATTTTATCTAAATTCTACTGCTATTCTTTACCCTTTATTCTTACCATTTAAAGAAAAGGTATTAAATATAACACATAAATTCAGAAAGTATGTAACATATAAAAGTATGCCGTTCTATATTATAAAATAGGCATCCATGTAACCACAGCCCTGGTCAAAAAACAGACTAGAGCCAGTATCCAAGAAGTCCCCAGATGTCTCTTTCAGCTTACAACTCCATCCCTCTCACCTGGATTTACTCCCTATCCTCAACTGTATGGTAATCACATCTTTGCTTTTCTTGATAGTAATTACCTAAGTTTGAATCCATAAATCTGCATTTTTCAACCTTCTTTTAATTTCTGCTCCACCAAAAAGGCTTTTTAGAATTTTTTTTTTCTGAATCTATCCCCCACCACAGATATACTGTGTTAACAGTTTATATAATTATAATAATAATTATTAAAAGGCCACAGACCAGTGTATATCTAAGATTTTTTTCACTCCAAGGAACCAGTTTTCACCCCATTGGTGGGGATACTGTTTCCACTGAGAAGGCATGCCCTAAGCAATTTAGTTTTACGTATTTTTTTTTTTTTTTTAATTTTTTTTTTTCAACGTTTATTTATTTTTGGGACAGAGAGAGACAGAGCATGAACGGGGGAGGGGCAGAGAGAGAGGGAGACACAGAATCGGAAACAGGCTCCAGGCTCTGAGCCATCAGCCCAGAGCCCGACGTGGGGCTCGAACTCACGGACCGTGAGATCGTGACCTGGCTGAAGCCGGACGCTTAACCGACTGCGCCACCCAGGCGCCCCTAGTTTTACGTATTTTTGAGCCCAATATAAATGAAATTGTACAAGACTTGTTTTGGGGTCTGGCTTCTTTTGCTGAACATTGTGTTTAAGGTTCACCCATCGTTTTGCACATAGCTCTATTCCTTTTTATATGAATACCACAGTTTTCCATTCTACTGAAACAGACACTTGGGTTATTTTCTGTTTGGGGCTATTATAAGCAACACTGCTCTGAACAATTTGAGTACCTAAGTGCTCATCTCTTGCAGGGTATATACATGAGAATTCCTGAGCCACAAGGAACGAATACCTTCTATGTTACCAAATAATCCCTACGTGTTTTCCCAAAGCAATTATAAAAATATACATTTCCATTAGAAGTATATCGAGTCCCCTTAAAATTTTCTTACCTTAAAAGAGAAGTTAAGCAAAATATATTCTATGCCTTCTTTTTCTTTTAAGATCTGAAGATCACTGTGCAAAGGACTATCAGGGTCGACCCTAAGAATTACATAACAAAAAACCAATTAAAATAAACAGTCCAAAGATGTTTTCTTACTAACCACAAAAATGAACCAGTTCAAGAGCTAAACAGAACCCCTAGGGTAAGTTTCAAACATAAACTTGCTCTATGGTCCCTGGAAAAATAAACTGTAATAGCTTTCAACTCCTTGAGATTAAATGTCCAAAAAGATCACAGTATTCTAAATCCATTCCCATAAGGGGATTCCAAGTTAGCAGTCATTCTAAAGGAAAGTCATATGTACATAAATTTCCTTAAGAACTCAAAAAAAATTAATCTGCTTCTCTAAAATTGTATTATTATTAGCCAAGGGATTCAAGGAAAGAAAATTACCATGGACAAGACTGGAAAAACTGAAATCACTAACAAAATCTATATTTGTCTACAACTGTTTCTACACATTAGGGCCTACTCAAATTCCTCATTTCAAATACAAACTGGATATCACAGTCAATCAGGTTATTAAATTCACTTTTGTTTCTATAGTTCCCAATTATCTAACTCCATGAAACACTTTATCCCATAGCTAGTCCTTCTTCTCCTTCCTCTTTCTCACTTTACTTATTTAAGCCTAAGAAACAGCTCATTTTAACAACCTGAGAACTAGTTCTACAGAAACACAGTCTAAAATTGTAAGTAAAAACCATATTTTAGAGGTTATCAAATTAAGGGGGAAAAAGGTCTCCATTGTGAAAGTCTATCATTACGAAGACTGGGTTAGCATATAAGAGTCACTTACTTCTGCAGTTTAACATGCCAGTCATATAAACTGTCATTTATGAGTTCCACTGAATAAATCCCTGTAAAGATACAGGCCATGTAAATTACTCTATTTGATCTTATACATACCACTTCGGTATAAATGAATACACTAAATAACCATCAAAATCTAGAAATTTTGCTACTAAAACATAGAACAACTAAGCTATATTGTAAATGTTTTGCCATTGAGCTGAGTATCTTATACTCTCAACAGAGAATTAAAGCCATCAATGAAGAGGATTCTTTAATGAGCTGAGAAACTGTTTACCATTAACTGTGAATAGGAGGGGGAAAACTATGCAAAAATCATGTGTACTTTAAGATTCTTCTTCTATACACATGCAATTATTTCTACAAAAATGAAATCCCTCTATATAGTTTTATAAACTTTCTTCAACTTTCTGGGGCATCTTTCCAACTTAGTATGTAAGAAGTCTACTGTCAATCTTTAAATAACTATAGAAATTTGTTTCATGGATATACCATAATTTAACCAATTCCACCCTATATCTGATTATTAATTTTTAATTTGCTACTATAAACAATGCTGTAGCAAACAAGTAATTATTTAACATTTAAAAATACACCCATATTCAAATATTTAACTATACTTGATTAGGTTTCTACAGATAAATTTTTAGACATATCGTAAGAAAAACAGGATGCCAAAACTTCTAATAACTCCGAAGCAAGTTCGGCTTACCTTGGATTCTAAAGCAGAAATTTTTTTTGCTTGTTTTTTGTTTTTATGTAAGCTCTAATGATTTAGATTTGATCATTCTAAGAATTTCTGAATGGATCACAAAGCTACTTTTTCAAACATATTATAAGGTTGGCTCTTTCCCTTATTTAATATTGTTAGAATCTCAATAACAACACAGGGGAATCTTATTTCAAGTGGAGAGGTTCCACAGTATTTAAGTCTTACTCTGTAAGAAAGAACACTCAAACTTTGAAATGAAGGGGGGAAAAAAGGCCAAAAACAAAACCAAACCAAAATCACCTATTCTTTTAAAGGTATACCATAACAACCTCTACAATAAAAGTTGATTATGTGGTTAAAAAAAAAAAGGGAACAAAAATTCATAAAAATCAACTTGGCAATAGTTCTTTGTTCATATAATATTTTCTTGTTTACTTTCCAAAGCAGATATTACTTGTAATATTCCCAGAAGATAAAAATCATCTATGAATTAATCCTTGTTAGCAAGAAGACAAAAATTTTGAGGTATCCATAAAAACAATTTTCAAAAATCTGAACAAGTAAACTCCTCTTATTCTACCTTCCACATCTTTTGATAACTTGATTAAATCTGCATTTAAAATCCCTAAAATAAAGTTCATAACCATTTCTGTGCCTGTCCAGTTATATTATGAGAACTGAAGTTTACTATTTGAAACTTAAAAACAGCATAAGGACAACAGAGCAGACACCCAGGGGTCCTTACCTGCTTTATAACTCTGTGATCTGTATATGTCCCTGAGCTCTTTCATAAGCCTATCTGAAGCTTGCACAGACCCAGATACTGCACCCTGAAACAGAAAAACTGCTGTTTACCAGGATCTACAGAGTCCAATAACTGAAGATTTCAGGTATATAAGCCTGAAAGTTTACAATGAGATTTATAAAAATAGATCACAACTCAACATTTTAAAAACTCAAAGAAGCTTAATTAAATTGATGATTATAAACTTTCAACAGGAATATAAAATTGGGGGACATGTCTGGCTCATTTATGATTTAAAAAAAAAAAAAAAGTCTAACCAACCTGTCTAGATAACCATGGCTCCTGCAGTAGCCTAGAAGTTAGTATAAACCTATTTCAAATTCTATTGATTTTTTAAAATATTAATTTTTTTTAAGATTTTATTTTTTAAGAGCACTTTTAGGATCACAGCAAACTTTAAAGAAAGGTCCAGAGATTTCCCATGTAACTGCCCCCACAATGCATAGTCTCCCTTATTATCAATTTCCCTCACCAGAAGGTATATATTTTTTTTAAGTTTATTTATTTTGAGAGAGAGAGAAAGAGGGAGAGAGAGAATATCAAGCAAACTCTGCACTGCGAGTGCAGATGCTGACACAGGGCTCAGTCTCACAACCATGAGATCATGACCTGAGCCGAAATCAAAAGCCGGACACTCACCTGACTGAGCCACCCAGGCACCCCCAGAAGATACATTTCTTAAATTGATGAATCCATTGACACATCAATAATCATCAAAATCCATAATTTACCTGAAGGTTTACTTCTGGTGTTGTATACTATATAGGTTTGGAAAATGTATAACACCACATATCCATCACTACAGTATCACAGTATTTTCACTGCCCTTAAAAATCCTCTGCGCTTTGCCTATTTATCTCTCCACCCCACCTCTGGCAAGCACTGATCTTTTTTATGGTCTCCACAGTGTTGCCTTTTCCAAAATATCACACAGTTGGAAACATACAGTTATGCAGCCTTTTCATCAGATTGGCTTCTTTCACTTAGTAATATGGATTTAAAAATTCTCCATGTCTTTTCATGGTTTGACAACTCATTTCTTTTTTTTTTTTAGCAGGGAATAATATTCCATATTGTCTGGATGTACCACTGTTTATCCATTAACCTACTGAAGGATATCCTAGTTGCTTCCAAGTTTTGGCAATTATGAATAAAGCTGCTATAAACATCCAGTATTTAGGTTTTTGTCTGGACAGAAGTCTTCAATTCATTTGGGTAAATACCAAAGACTGAAACTGCTGGAATGTATGGTAAAAATTATGTTTAGTGTTATAAGAATCTGCCAGACTGTCTTCAAAAGTGGCTGTACCATTTTACATTCCCATCAGCAATGAGTGAGAGTTCCTGTTGCTTCACAGCCTCCTCAGCATTTAGCATTGTCAGTGTTCCTGATTTTGGCCATTCTTTTTTTGATTCTGGCTATTTTAATAAGCATGTTGGGTCAGAAGCAAATTTTGAACATACTAGAAGGCCCTTACCATTTTAGACTATCAACTAACACAGTTTCATTAGTCTGATTATAAGCAAGAATGTTATACTGAAGGTCTACTTTACATTATTAAGAAACTGAGAAATAACATGTTCACCTGCAACTAGTTTCAGTTCTTTTCCATGTTGGGATTTCTCTAAAAATGAAACTGCACCAATATGTTATCCGAAGACTAACTAGGAATGCAACTACTTCTCATAAGACAAACATTTAGAATACCTTAGTTTAAAAAAATACACTGATCATGTAAAATTTAAATGTTAATGGCTGTACTACACCTTGCAGAATGGGTAGCAATCAGGTTCACAAAGTTATTTCCTACATTACTTAACTGGTTTAAACCCTAGTTTCACACCCATAGAATAAGAAGACTATTTTAAAAGTGGCTATAAAAGGTTGAATGGGAAGGTTTATAAAGTTTAAAGTACTTAGCTTAGTGTCTCTCATGTGAAAACATTAAATAATCTGTAGTTGTTTTGATTATAATATACAAACTAAAAGCAATCGCAAGATACAGAAAGTACAGTAATCTTAAATGGCACAAACTTTTTAAAAAAATAATGAAGAGTTGAACTAAATTTCTTTGCTCTCTAAAAAATAAATAAAAATAAATAAAAATAAAAATTTGCCAATTAAATTTAATAGTGTAAGACTGAAGGAGAGCGAGTAATTCATCTGCTTACAATACTTGGCATTTCCCCACATAATTCATTCCCTGTTTTTGAGAACCTGTGCCTAAGAAAAAGGTCCGTCTGAGATAGATGTCTTGGGTTTGATAAACAGCTCTAATACAAAGAAGTAAGAAGTAACTGTTGAGACAAATGGCTAGACTCTCCTATGTTTCCCTACTTTGGGTATTTTAATGTATCATTCTCATTTATTCTACTCAGTAATCATCCAAAAGGTATGTATTATCTATATTTTAGAGTGGAGGAAACTGAAGCCACACAGCTGTGTTTATTACCAAACTCAGCATTCATTCACTCCATACCCCATGCCACTTCACATAAAAGCGATGTTAAGTCAAAAGAAAAAAAAATACTTTTGGTTTGGTTAGAGCAGGATAGACCAGATGGAAACTCTGTGGGAAAGAATCTAAATTGTACTCTATTTGTAGAAAACAGTAAATTTAAATATAGATCTCATGGTAGAAGGGGAAGCAGTATAAACAGGCTGGAAAGTGGGTATATATAGTGAACAGCAGGTTAATTCCAACACGTAAAAAGCAGATGAACATGGTAGAGAGCTATCAACAGATAAGAAACTTCAACAACAACAACCCACTAGGGCAACAAAACATGGCTGAATCCACAACACAGGCAAGGGTGGAGGAGGGTAGCTTAGACTGGTAGCTTAATGAATTGCCCTGTTTTATATTATTACCTATAATTACTTAATCCCAAAAGTATAGATTTTAGATATTTGCAAACACTTACATTGAGATGGTCTTGTCTTTGGGTCTTCCTAATTTTCTCTAATATTGCCAAATTTTCTTTTTCAATTCCTTCATCCTCTGACTTTTTTCCACTAATAGGCTCTTCTTCCTTCATCTCATAGTGATCCAAGTCTTCTATATCCTACAAAGATAAGAAAAATATTAGCTTATTGAAGCTTATGCCAAAAGTTAAATTACTCTTGACTCAACACAGACAAATGAATGGAAAAAGGAAAAAAACCTTCACATTCAATCCAGAAGTTTCCATCTTTTTATATCCTACATTTTTAGAGCTAGAATCTAAGCATATTTAATACTTTTATAAAGCCATAACTCTTACTAAATAAATCTCCTATTAAAAGAAACTTTTGCAACAGTTTAGCATTAGGTATCAAGAACCTTATTTATACTTTGTTCCAGTAATTGTCTTCTAGAAATCTACTGTAAGGAACTAATTTAAAATGTGAACATTGACTTAGGCATAAAGATGCCTATTTAAACTTTATAGCTACAAAGCACTCCACAAAACTGCATGTGCAAAAATACCAGAGCAGGTACCTCAATTTCATGAAATATAAGACCATTAAAATGTCAACATAGCATAATTGTTTCTTCTTTATCAATAATGAAACAAAAGGGCAGTGAGGATGGCAGTGCACCAATCCCTGGCTCTGTGGGGGCAGTGGCAAGGTGAATGAGCCAGGCTGGCCACTGTGGGTACCAGGTTCTGTACTCAGGCTCCACCTGTTGCTTCTGGCTGCTGCTCTGGCCTTGCCCCAGACCTGGGGTCAGCTGGGGGACTGGACACCCCTGGGTGACCATACAGCTCACGCTAGTTAGAGCTGTGCTGTCCAACAGGGCAGTCTCTTGTTTCTTGTGGCTGCTGAGCACTTGAAATGTGACCAGTCTGAACTGAGATGTGCCTTAAGTATATAGTCCACACCAGATTTGGAAGACTTAGTGAGAAAAACAAAGAGCTCATTTATTTTATGTCAATTATGTTGAAATGATCATAATTTGAACACATTAGGTTAAAAAAACATACTAAATGGAAAAAATAACGCAATGCAAAAAGCACACAAAACTGAATATATATGGGGCGCCTGGATGGCTCAGTCAGGCGACCCAACTGTTGATTTCAGCTCAGGTCACGATCACACAGTTTGTGGGATCAAGCCCTGTGTCAGGCTTGTAGCACGGAGCCTTCTTGGGATTCTCTCTCTGCCCCTCCCTTGCTCGTGCTTTCTCTCTCAAATAAATAAACTTAAAAAAAATGAAAAACTGAATACAAATCTCAATTATACTAAAATAAACACAGAAAAAAAGAGATTAGGACATAACTGAAATAACAATAGTTATTTCTAGAGATATTTAGTGCTTTTCCTTCTTTTACAGTAAGCACCTACTGATTTTTGTAATTAGGAAAAAGTTAGATAAGAATTTGTGTTATATCCCTTGGCTAACATCTTTGATCACTACATCACTCTCCTCCCTCCTTTCCCATATCATCTATTCTTAAATCTATGCAGAACTTTTAAAATCATAACCTTTTTCTATTATCTTCTCTACTTCAACCATCAAAATCTCTAAAGGAGTAGTTGATACTATTTCCATTTTTTTTAAGTTTATTTATTTGGGGGGGGGATGAAGAATGAGTGCATAAATGCTGGGGAGAGGCAGAAAGAGAGAATCCCAAGCAGATGCTGTCCACATTGTCAGCCCGAGGCCTGACTCGGGGCTTGGGCTTGGGGCTCAAAACCCACAAACCGTGAGATCATGACCTAAGTGGAAATCAAGAGTCTGACACTTAACCAACTATGACACCCAGGTGCCCTACTATCGCCATTTTTTAACCAAACTAACTCATTGTGATTTGTAGACCAGGCTAAAGATCACCTCCATCCAGACTCGGCGGTCTTTTTCTTAGACTCTCATCTCTTCAACCCCTATTATTATATTCCTTTCTTATTCAGACCCTGTCCATGACTCCATGTTTCATAGAGCTCCCTCCCCATGAAAGGTTTACAACTTTGTTCCATCCCACACTTATTTTCTTCAGAGTTCTCACAAATGTCCTTAGTCTGTATCTCTTCCTAAAACTTCAAAACGCAGCCACATTCCTATCCATAAATCTTCTCCACTTGAGTATTAATGATGAATTCTGTTCTGTGTGGATTATCTTTATAGAACAATGTTCTCAGCACACCTTTTTCTGTGTAAGGCCTTTTTCTCAATAGTCACACCAAAGATAAACATATTTGTCTCCAATTCAAGACTTTTAAGCCATCTGCTTTGCTAGTCAACCCTGCTTTCCTTCCATGACTCCAACACATCAATCTTAATCTCCCAAAAAGACAGCTTCAATGCACCTAAACACACCACGCCCAAGGCTGCTTGGGACTTTTTACCATATTATTTTAGTTACCTAGATTATCTTCCATTCAACCTATCTTAATCTGACATCTTTGAAGTCCAGGCTCCTGTCTTTCTAGATTTCTTTCCCTAAATGCTGCTGTCCCTTCTTTATATCATTTTGAAGGGAAAAATGAGGGGCGCCTGGGTGGCGCAGTCGGTTAAGCGTCCGACTTCAGCCAGGTCACGATCTCGCGGTCCATGAGTTCGAGCCCCGCGTCGGGCTCTGGGCTGATGGCTCAGAGCCTGGAGCTTGTTTCCGATTCTGTGTCTCCCTCTCTCTCTGCCCCTCCCCCGTTCATGCTCTGTCTCTCTCTGTCCCAAAAATAAATAAACGTTGAAGGGAAAAATGAAAAGTACATAAACTTTTGAATGTCTACTTCATTGTACACTGAACCCATGGAAAAGGCTTAAAAACATGAAATGCTTTTAACATTTAACTCTATCCCTAAAAAGTCACACAAATTACAAATTAGACGTTAAGGATTATTTTGTTCCCACACTGACAAAACAAACCCACAACTACTTCTTTAGTTTTAAGGCATTCTAAGAAGTGTATTTTACATTTAAGATTTTCCAAATCAAGAAAAGAAGGTAGTAACTTGAATTAACTCTAAGATCCAAAATGGAAAAGATATTTTAAAATCAAGACTGTGGAACTCAAATACCTTTTACGTGGTCAATGTAGAAACCTAGATCTCCACTCTGAAGTCTGCATTTAAACACAAAGCCTCAGAGCTGGAAAACCTCTAAAATTGTATCCGTGAGTGGCAATTAAACTGGTCTAAAGTCAAAGTCTTAGAATTTGCCCTACGAAATTCTTAGATGGTTTTTCAACAGGAGGTAGCTTTACTACTTCTAGTGAGTAGTCCCTGAAATGTTCTCAAACGCTCAAATTCAGAATTTTTTTTTCTATAATATTTATTTTGGGGGAGAGTGCAAGCGGGAGAGGGGCAGATAGAGGGAGCAGAGGATCGGAATTGGGTTCTGTGCGGACAGGCTGAAAGCAGCGAGCCCAATGTGGGGATCGAATTCACAAGCTGTGGAGATCATGACCTGAGTCAAAGTCGGATGCTTAACTGACTGAGCCACGTAGACCCCCATAAATTCAGAATTTTTAAAACTTAATAGTTCCTCTTCTTAAAAATAACTAAGTACAGGTTAAGTATTGATTACTATTAAACATAAATATTATTTTAATGCTAAATGTTAATAAGAGCTTTTATTTGTTAGGAAATCAAATCGAAAGACATCAGATAAGTGATTTGCTTAAAACCATTAAAGTTTTATCATTAATTAAAGCTAAAAGCAGACTTTAGAAATTACATTCAATTTCAAATACCATGTGCTTTGCATTATTCCACATTAACAAAGGCTTATAAAGGAGATTAGAGAATTATTAAAAATGTTCAAAAATGAAGATTATTTATAAAATGTGATTTTTTTACATAAAACACCTACTTCAGCCATCTCTTCTTCTTCCTCTTCTTCTGAAGTTACTTCTTCTGTTGTCCCATTCTGAAAAGGAAAAAGAATTTGCTAGGGCTACACAGAATAAGCACACACTGAGTACATTAGAATTTAGGGACAAGCTATCATTCATCTGTCACTAAAATTCCACTAAAAGAACTCATTAAAGTTGAACATTTACTTTTAAATCCAGGTTTGATGTGACAAATAATATTTATCAGTTTTTTAAAAACAAATTTTGAACAATTCAACTTAATAGATGCTTTGGGAATAAACAAAGGCAATTAGTCAATTATAGAGCAAAACTGCAGAAAATTCTGAAACATTCTAAAGAAAACATTTTACTCATATGGCTATGTACATAAGGTTAAAGCTACTGACTTCTTCCACTTAAAATAAATATCCCAAACTTTGGTTTCCTTAAAACAGCTACCTTTTTAACTTTGAAAAGCCTGAATGTTTCCATAAATTCCACTGCCTTATATTTTAAAAGGTCAAATGTGTTAGTTATAAAGAAGTAGACCTTTCACAAAACTAAAAATTATAAAATGATCACCATTTTACTATAGAGCCACTTTTCTTTTTTACATGTCATTTATCACAGAATACTTCTCTACAAGACACAATTTGCCACTCATTCACAAGGAACCTGATGGGGTTTTAGGAAGGACCTTCATAACTAGTTTTGGCAGAGCTCAAAAAGACAACTTTTCTAAACCAGAGCATAGTTGTCTACAATACAGTGGATAAAGTTAGAACGATTTTTCTTTCTTTCCAGAAATACTTGCTGTATTTGTTCCAACTACAGCTGGAACAAATTTATTGTTTAAGAGGCCTAACTTGATGGCCTCTTAAGTATGGGTGTCAGAGCCAGAAAGAAAGGCACATTTTAAAAAATATAACTCAACACAGCAGCAAAATCACCTTTTCCTTTTACTCAGAGGAGTTGAAAAGTCTGCCTGCCAGAACCTCCCCATTCCCATGTCATAGGCAGAGCATAGGTGTACAAGTCAGGGGGGGAGGAGGCCATAGCAGAGAAGACTGACAATTGCGGAGGACAGTCACATCAACCATTGACAATGATCAATGGTATGCCTCATCTATGCAGATAGCCAAGTATTGCCAGATATTTGAAGAAAACCTGCAATTTGGGGGGGGAAAAAAAGCACCAAGTTGAACAAACAGAACAGGTGACCTGAAACATTATTAATGAAGAAAATAAAACAAAAAAATCTAATTGGAATCTTTAGCAATACTTGAGAAGGTATTACATCCACAAAATATAAAAAAATTTCTGTGCAAAGGAAAAGGCAATTCTAGGAAATCAAAAAGATTCTATCAGGAAAAGAAAAAAAAGAAAAAAAAAAAAGATGAACAAGATGACCAAGTTGTGACATTGCTTTAGAACAATGGAGAAAAAGGATACAGGGAATGGGAGAGGAAGGGGTACAGAAAAAGAAGAGTTAAGGGAAATGGGAGATAGGAATACAGAGAATTAATATTCATCCACTGTTCATCCATAAGACTGAGGGAAAGAAATAAGAGACAAAGGCTGTCAAGCTAAAGAAAGACCTCAAATATGAAGTGGCTGTGAATGCCCCAAAGGAATATTGAAAAGTAAAATTCTGTACTTCACAGTTAAAAAAAAGCAAAAAACACCTACCAATGTCCAAAAAGAAAAATTATAGAAAAAGAAGAATCAGGCATCAGGATTTTCACCTGCAGCAATAAATCCTGGAAGATAAAAGTGTAAAGAACCTAGAAGAGACTCAATTATGAACTTAGAATTATGTATGTAGTTCCATCAGGACAGGCACGATTCCTGTGTTTCCTTCACCTCTGTATTCTCAGCACCTATGTAGAGTACTTTACACAGAGTCAGATAGGTAGGTGTTGAATAAATAATAAAAACAGATACTGAGTATTCAAGGAACACTCTCCATATACATTCCCAGAAATCCTTTCTAGAAATAAAAACAGAGGACATGATTCAGGGATATATTTTTGGAGGTGGGAAGCAACCATGGAATACAAGAAACGGCAATAAGCAAAGACATAATAACACCAATGGTTAAGTTGAAGCAATTGTTGATAATTCAGCTGGGAAGCCATATTCTCTGACCAGAGAAAAACTAAAAATAGCCCAAAAGCCACCTAAGAATGTTAAAAAATTTTTTCTAAAGAACTCTTAAGAAGAAATTGACCCTCATGTCCCAGTAATCCAACTTCTAAGTATGTGCCCAGAAAAATGCTTGCACAGGTGTCCCACGAATATAGAGAAGAATGAACATGGTAGCACTATTCCTTTTATTTTTTTTTCAATATATGAAGTTTATTGTCAAATTGGTTTCCATACAACACCCAGTGCTCATCCCAAAAGGTGCCCTTCTCAATACCCATCACCCACCCCCCATCAACCCTCAGTTTGTTCTCAGTTTTTAAGAGTCTCTTATGCTTTGGCTCTCTTCCGCTCTAACCTCTTTTTTTTTTTTTCCTTCCCCTCCCCCATGGGTTTCTGTTAAGTTTCTCAGGATCCACATAAGAGTGAAACCATATGGTATCTTTCTTTGTATGGCTTATTTCACTTAGCATCACACTCTCCAGTTCCATCCATGTTGCTACAAAGGGCCATATTTCATTCTTTCTCATTGCCACGTAGTACTCCATTGTGTATATAAACCACAATTTCTTTATCCATTCATCAGTTGATGGACATTTAGGCTCTTTCCATAATTTGGCTATTGTTGAGAGTGCTGCTATACACATTGGGGTACAAGTGCCCCTATGCATCAGTACTCCTGTATCCCTTGGGGTAGCACTAGTCCTAATAGCAAGCTGGAATCAACTCCAATGGATAAAAATGTTATGGTGTATTCAAACAATGAAATACTGAAATGAAAAAGAACTCCAGCTACACATAATATGAATAAATTCAAAACACAATGTTAAGCAAAAGACAGACATGAAAGAACACATATGACTCTTAACATGAAGCTTAAAAACAGGCAACAGTAAACCACATTGTTCAGAAAGGTACATATAGATGATAAAACTAGAGAAAAGGAAAAGATTAGCATAGAAGGGAATGATTATCTGGAAGGAGCCTGCAAAAGGTTTCCAGTGCTAGCAATAGTCTGTTTCTTCACATGGGTGGGGACTGGGTGGTCATTCCCAGGTATTCACTGTAACTATTACACTAAACTTATGGACAAAAGATGGAATCAAACCACTCAGGAAATACAAACTATTTAGAAAATAAATATACATTTTAAAACTTATGCAATGAAATCAAACAGCGCTAAGAAAATGTATACTTTTGTTAAAAAAGCAATTTAAATCACAATTATCCAATAAACTAGAGAAGCAAAAGGAGAGCTAAGACTCACACAAAAATAAAGAAAATTAGATTTAAAAAAATAAAAGGACTGATTCTTTCAAAAGACCAATAAAACAGACAAGCTTTTGGAAAGTAATCAACGATAAAGAAAACAACTTTAGAAATGAAAAGAGCTTCATAACCATAGATTCAAAAGTATAAATGAAGTCATCATTTTTTTAGAATCTAAAATTACTAAAACTGACTAAAGGAATGGAAAATATGAAAACTAATACATGGAAAAACATGGATCAGGCTCAGGCTCAGATTTTCATTTAAACCAGGGTTTCTCAACCTTGGAAGTACTGATAATTGGTGCTAGATAATTCTTTGTCATGCGGGACTGACCTGACATTGTAGCACATTTAGGAACATCCTTCTCCCCACAAAATGCCAACAGCACCCCCACCCAACCAGTTGTGACAACCAAAATTATCTCTGGATGTTTCCAGAGGCCTCATGAGAGGCAAAATTGGACCCTGCTGAAAATTTTATTTAAACTGCCCTCGATCTTAGAAAAAAACACACAAAGCTTACCAAGTCATCTTACAAGACTACATAACCTTGATACTGAAATGAAACACAAGAGCCTAAAAAGAAACAAATAAAAAGAAGTACATTACAATCGCACCTAAAGTAGAAAAAGCCAAAAATAAAGTATTATCATATCCATCATTCCCTCTGGCCGCCACCTATGCAGGTGCTGAGTATTTATTATGAATACAAGGATGATTCACAACTAGTAAATTTCTTCACACAATTCACAAATTATATCTCTACATAGAATTATATGCACAATCATGAAAAACAAGGTAGATCTACATACACTGTGTCCATAATGTATTGTTAAGTGAGAAACCTAAGGTGCAGACATTCCAGAGAGAGAAAATTGAACATAGAACATACATATTTCTCCCATCTTCTCTCTTTCCTAAGTCTCCACTAAAATTATAGTGAATAAACCCTATATAAATACACAATGATAACAAAAAAGGAAGTGGGGCTACCAGCAGTAAAGAATTCACTCATACTAGCATATGACAATACATGGAAGAATAATAATTAATGGAACAAACAAGTAAAATAGGTTAGGGGATTATAGGAGGCTAATTTGTCCCAGAGCACGCTGGAGAGACTCAAGACTCTAAGACACCCAGTAACCTGGACAGGAGTAATGAAGAAGCCAGAAAACAGATTAACCAAAAGCCTATACCCAGAACATATTGTTCAGTCCCCAAACACACTGCTCCCCCTTATGTCCTTAAGCAGAACCCAGGCAAACATATCTACCTTAAGCAGGAGATTAGAAGGTTTCATATCCAAACAAACCAAATAAACCAATTCCAGCCGCTATTTATTATTATACCAGGAAATACAGGGCTGGGGAAGTGGGGTTGGAAATCCCTTTAAATTCCTCCTAAAAAGCTATCAGTTGACAAGTCTTGGCCACAAAGAACTCTCAGTCATCTTTTTAGTACCTCTCTAAAGGAATATATGAATAAGAAAGGAAGGAAAAAAACCAGAAATATGAATGAGCAATATAGAATAAATAGATATTTGAGGAAAGTCTTCAAAAAGAAAAATTAAGACCAAGATGAACTAGAAAAAAAAACTTATTAAAGAGAAAATAGAGATGGTAGAGAGGGAGAGGTTAAGGGTAGCTTACCTTAAGGGTGGCTCCTTAAGGACACTTATGAATACAACTATAAATCAGAAATAAAATGCTATGAATAAAGAATAATCAGAGAACAAGAAAAAGCTCTTAGAATTTATGATATATCATTGGAGAGGACCTCCAATGAACCACATCCTTAGCATTCATCCCCTTATCTGGTCCCCTCCCAAAGCCAATCTGGGCTGGTCCCATGACTTGCTTTAACCAATAAATGTGGTAGAAATGACACTGGGCCAATTCCATATCTAAGCCTTAAAAAGGCCTGACAGCTTCTACTTTTGTGCTCTTGGAAGCCAAAAATTAAGAATTCTGACTACCTTCCTGAATAAAGAGAAGTCAAAAGAAAGGGTCCATCCAAAAAGAGGATGAGATGCCATGAGAAAAGGTCTGGGTGAAGAAATACCAAGGCACCACACATATGAGTTAAAAGGCCATTCGGGACATTCCAGAGCAGTCATGTTTCCAAATGACTACCAGTCCCAGCCACTATCTGACTGTGCAAGTGAGGCCAGCAGAAAAAAAAAACAAAACTGTTCAGCTAAGCCTAATCAACCCACACAATTGTAAGAAACAGAATAAACTAAGTTCGGGGTAACTGCTTAAGCAGCAATAAATCAAAACCAAAAAGTTATGCTGTCCAAATAATATATTCAAAAATTGAAGGAAAAAACTTCCAGAATTTTAAATTAAAAGATAGAGACAGAATATGGAGACAATATAAAAGATACAAGGACTCAAGTAAAGAGGTCTAAAATCCCATTAGTAGGCATTCCGAAAATGAACAAATAAAGAAAATGGAAAGGAGAAAGTTATCACAGAAAGAAATACAAGCACACTTAACCAAGGAGAAAGATTAAGGAGTCGACTTAGGAAAAAGACCCATCCATACTTAGTGTCCAGCAACAGGGCAGGGGATGAGGGGGTGGGGGTGGGGGAGAGAGAGACCACAACTAAAAATACTCCACTGTAGTATTTTAGAACATCAAGGAAAAGATGAACTCTTAAAAGTTTCCCAAGTTAAGCATAGAAGAGTAAGACTCAAAATGGCATCAGGCTTAAACAGCACCATTGGCTAAAAGATGACAGTGCAGTCTTTGATATTCTGAGGGAAAATTATTTTCAACCTAGAACCACATATTCAACCAAACAATCAAATGTGACCATACAATGTAATAGTATGTAACGTTTATTGGGCATTTACTATGTGCCAAGCACTGCTCTAAATGATTTACATGTACTAACTCGTTTAATCTTCCTAGTTTCTCCCAAATATAGGTACTACTACTATTTCCCCCATTTCACAAACAAATTGATGCACACAGTGGTTGGGTAATTATCCCAAGGTCAGACAGCTAATAAGCAGCAGAACCAAGATTCAAACCTATAGTGGTCTGGCCATATATTTTTAGATGTTAGAACTCAGAAAGTGTACTACTCCTTCATGCTAGGATTCTACTTGAGGATGTACTCAGGCAAAATGAGAAAGGGTAAGCAGAAAGGTAACATGAGATCAGGTAACAATGGATCCACACTAGCAGAGGAGACAAAAATTTCAAATGACAGCTACACAGCCAGACCAGAGAACAACCTGCTACGACTGGTGCAGAAGAACCAAAGGCTCCAGAGAGACAGGACAGAACACCACTTTCTAAACTAAGAATTATTATTATAAGGAGGACACTGCAAAAACAAAAAGCTCTTGAAAAAATGTCATAATAGAAAACTCTATACCACAAAGTCCTAATGATAAATAATAATTCATATGACTAAATATAACGGTGTTTTAGGAAGGGGAGATGGCCCAGAAGGTGGATGGTCTAAGAGCTAAATCCTTATCTACTTATAGTACAAAGTCAATAAATTAAGCCATAAATAGGTAAATCTGGAAATCCAGAAAAATCAGAGGTGGTGGTGAACTAGTAGGTACTTCAATAACATTCGGGTTAGGCCTTAAGAAGCACAGATAGGCTTAAGGAGATGGCATTCCAGGTGAAGGTCAATGAATAGGCAAAGGCAAAAAACTGAAGAAACAGTTATGGAAATCAGGAATGTTAACAAAGACAAAAAGGTAGCTGGTAGTCTGGGGGAGGCAGTTGTTTCCCTGGTCAGGTAGGTCATAGTAAATACCAGCAGCTCCAAAGACTAAAAAGATTATTTTTAGTACTTAAAATAAAACAAACAATTCAACAAGACTGACTTCTAAATAACTTGTATAATAAGAAGAAAAATTATCCTGGTTTTACTTTTGCTTGAGACAATTTATTTTAGCTCTTGAACACTAGAGAATTTTTACTTTACCTGACCCGTGGGTATTGGTTGATCTAGCATCTCAACATCCAGGAGCTTAGGAAGGTTATATAATCTGCAGAGTTCACATATCAACCACTTCAATTGCTGACGAAGCTACAAAACACATTTCAGTAAATAAGTATTATGTTAAAGAGCCCTTAGAAGACATGAATAATGCTATGACTATTGTAACCAATCCAGTAGGAAATGAAAAAGTTTGTTACTGCTCAGTTACAACTTACAGATAAAATAACAGTCTTTAAGAAATATTTTTAGGGGCTGCTTGTATAAGAAAGTTACTATGGCCTGGGGCGCCTGGGTGACTCAGTCGGCTGAGTGTCCGACTTTGGCTCGGGTCATGATCCCACTGTTCATGAGTTGGAGCCCCATGCCAGGCTCTGGGTTGACAGCTAAGAGCCTGGAGCCTGCTTTGGATTCTATGTCTCCCTCTCTGTCTCCGCTCACACTCGGTCTCTCTCGCTCTCAAAAATAAACTTTAAAAAAAGAAAAAAAGAGAAAGAAAGTTATGGCTTGAGTACAATCCTTACAACTAATACCTAGCAGAATGACAACAGCAAAAGTGCCTGAAGGAGAGCTCTAGACATTGTCCAATTTTCAGTTGCTAACTTCTTTTCTTAGAAACTTACAACTTCAGACAAGAATACATTTACATTCATTAATGAGGCTACAAAATATAGAGGCAGTGTTGTTACACATGGGTTATCAAATTATACATTCCAGTCATATTCATTTACAAGTAGAGACAAATGTTGTCTAGCAGACAGACCCTTGGAATCTAGAGGAACTTGGATACAGCATCTAATTCCCTGAGTTTTTGAGGGTTCCCATCTATAAAACAAGGAAATTGAGAACTTCTTATAATGGTAAAGATTAAATAAAACCTGGGAAAACATTTGGCACTTAGTAGGTTCTTAAGCATTTGTCTTAAAAAAAAAAAAAAAAAAGGAATAAACTCACTAGGAAAACTGCATGGAATAACTCAGTTAGTTCCCATTTTTACACCCAGGGTGTTTCGTAAATATATTTAAGCAAAGAAGCAAGGTAAATTATGTTTATGAACATGTCTTTCATTGTTGGAAACAGTTTTTAATGTATAAGTTTAGGAATTGTGGTCTAAGAACCATGTTCAATACTTAGTAAACTTTATCTGGAACTAGTAAGGTAACTTATTTCACCTGGTCAGGAATAGTTTCCTGGATGTCTCTGACCAAGAAAAGAGATGAAGAAGCAGGTTTATGAAGGACTAAGAAAACAGAGGATTAAAATGGGTTAAACAAAGCAAAGAATAAGACTTTCCAAAATAGTCAAAGGAACAAGCAGAAATTAGGAAAGCTGAACAGTAAATTAGGATTAAAAAAAAAAAATCCTCAAGCTTAAAAGGCAGCAAAGCCCCTGTGGATTTACCCCTCCAACAAGCTCTGCTTTAAGAACATAATGAAGATAAGAAAGGGAGACCTGGACACAGACCCAGCCACTCCAAGTCCTGGCAAAAGAAGAGTGCTGTGGGAGTGCTGTGGGAAGAGCAGCAGTGTAGTAGAGTCATACCAAGCAACAGGAAAAACAGGGTTGTATATCTTTCAGGAATTTCAGTTTCACCCTCCTCCCCCACCAATCCTCCCAAAAGCATTTGAAGGACGGAAGAAACTAAGATGGTTGGAAAAGATTTAAGAAATATTTAGAAGGTAGATGGACAGGTCTTAGAAACTTACTAGGTAGTTTGGAGAGGGGAGGTGTCAGGAAATATAGGTATAAAAAAGAACTTTTAGTTCCCAGTTTCAGGCACAGGTGTGTAAAGCTTCATTATTTCATTTTGTCCCACTCACAATCACAAAAGAGAGTTACTGAAGGGAAACTTGATGGGGGTGGTAGAGTACTTCCAGGCAGGTAAGTTTAAATTCAAATGTAATCATTTTTAACAGCCATGGCACATCCAAGTGAGATTCCCTGATCTATGTGATATATAAACAGTTATATGGGTTTGAAAACTTGGATAAATTTTAGCTAAAGATACAGATTTAGGAATCCCTGGAATATAGACTATGATTTAAATAACAGTAGTCAAAGAGATTTCTCAGAGAAAGCACAGAATGAGAAGAGGCAGACCAAGGGAGAAGAGCTCAGGGAAGACCAGGGGAAACAGGAGACAGTAAGTAGTCTGATGCAATTCTTCGTAAGATTATCAGTTCCCAGAGGACAGGGATAGGACTTGACTTTTGTATCCACCACTTATCACAAAGCCTGGCATAGAAGCCAGTCAATTAAAAACAAAAACAAAAAAGCTTCCATGTGTTCTATTAACAGTTTCCTGTATACACCCGGGGGGGGGGGGGGGGGGGGGGGGAGTATGCATAAACCCACATAGATAGCACAGATACAGTTTTTTGTTTACAACATTGTATGCGAAAGGGGCCAGGTTATAAACAATATTCAGTGCCTTGCTTTTTCACTGGTAGATCCTATAAAGTTGCATGTGTTTCTATGGAAAGACTGGCTGCATTCTTTTTAATTACAATATAATATTATATCATAAAACAATTAACAGTAATTTTTATTTAATCAGCTTTTTACTGGCAGACTTTAAGTAATAAAGGTTTGTAAAATGGAGAAATGTTTTAACGAGGGAACAATCAACAGTTTCTAAATGGTGCAGAGAGATCAATGTTAGGGTTAAAGGAGTCCCTGGATTTGGCAACTAGAGATAAAAAATCTTGGTTCAACAATGAAGACAGAATCCAGATTATAATAAAAGAAGTAAAGCAAAGGTGAGGAAATACAGCTTATTCTGTCAAGAAACTACGTTATAAAATAACTGGCAGAGACTATTAACAGTAGAGGGTGATTTGGTTTTTGTCTTTTATGTAAATATATTAATTTTTTAGAATAAAATGAGGCCCAATTTTATGCTGTCATTTTGAGTATTTTTGGACGAAAAATTTTAGATACTGAAAAATAACCCAGTCATTTCCACTATTATAAAACTTACACCTTTAGATGTTTTCAGAGGTAACCTCCTAAAGGAGATAGCAGTAAGGGTGCTATCTTTCCCTGTCCTGCCACTCCCCTGCTACAGATGTGAATATGTGTGTCTAGCTTTTTACTTTTACCTAACCTTCATGGCTCTCCAGATCGGCCTTTTTTTTTTTTTTTTTTTTTTTTTTAAGTTTGTTTATTTTGAGAGACAGAGAGAGAGAGAGTGGGGGAGGGGCAGAGAGCGAGAATTCCAGACAGGCCCCGCAATGTCAGCACAGAGCCCGATGTGGGGCTCAAAGCCACAAACCAAGAGTTCATGACCTGAGCCAAAACCAAGAGTCTGAGTCTCTGAGCCACCCAGGGTGCCCCCAACCTACTTGTAAAATACCCTTCAAACTGATGTTTTTCTGTTAATTTTAAGCATAAATGTGTTTAAACCACCTATAACTCATTTTGACAAAAATCTGAGGTAAGATTCTAACTTTGCCCAATGGTCAGTTCTCCCAATAGTATTCATAGAATAATCTACCCTTTCCTTTTATTTTAACTCATTTTAACTTATTGTGAATTATCAATTTCATGACTCTGTTTCTAAACTTCTATTGTCTTTGTCCAGTCCAGTGCCAGTATACAATATTTTTATTTAGTATCTTTTGGACAACTCTCATTACTTTTTCCAACTATTATTTTCTTATTATTTACTCTTTAAAACAAACTTTAGAGTCATTTTGCAAAGTTCCAAAAATAGGACTATTGGGATTTTTAGGGGAATTAACTGCATTCAATTTATAAATTAACATGAAGCTATGGAGATAACTGACATTTATAATACGGAGTCTACCCATCTAGGAACACAGTAGTCAAGTCTTCCATGTTAATTTTAATAAAGGATATAAAACTGTACAGAATATGACCTCAACTACTTAGAGTCTATGTATTTTACTAGCAAGAGAAAAAATACTGCTAGAAAATAGCTATCATTGTCAACAGTGGTTATATCAGGCAAAAATATTGTAAAGGATTTTTATTTCCCTTCATTTACTAAGTTCTCTTACAATAGTTGCTTAGTTTTATAATAAAAAAGTTAATTTTTTTTTTTTTTTTTTTTTTTTTTTTGTAAAATGGAAAGTTACATTTTTTGGTACATTAAAAAAAAAAACCCAAAAAATCAAAAACGCTTTTTCTGGCTTTTACTGCAGTTACAGACTCCTGACAGAGAAAGCAATTCCCTAACACTAGCACTGATGTCATTCTAGCATTATTTCCCCTCACATCCACCTCAGTTCTTTTTCCCTTTTTCTACCTTTTACTTTGGGTAGTGATCCCTACCAAAAATGCTTGGTTGGTTTAATAATCACAATTCATTGAAAAGAGACCACTTAATTCATCTAAATTAAAGCTTAACTTATGGGGAATAAAAAAGATAAATCAGGTAGTAAATAGAATTTGAAGGCCAGAAAACAAACAGACAAACAAAACTGGTCTTCAGCTCCTTTAAGATTATCAAATAATCATTAATCAGACTTTTTTTAATTATATGATCTCTTAACACCTAAGTTCTATATATAATGTTTTTGAGGAAAAAAGAAAGTAGCTTGGCTTATTTTCTCACCGAATTGTTGTTCTTAGTGTCTTCTAGACGTTCCAGCACTGATGTCAGATTTGGGTCATCGGAGTCCACAAACCATATTGGTGAAGAAGACGGGTAAGATTCCTATTACAAAGACACCTATGTTAAACACATTTTCATACTGACTAACCTAGATATGCAAATACACTACACCACCCACCAAATAGCACAATGACCATGGATTTAAGTAAAATATATCAGGGGGAAGAAAAGCAACACACTAACATCTATGTCTGGAGAGAAGTTTCTTTTTATGGATATTTTTTTAAAACAAAGTTTTATGGTATAATCTTGCCTGCTCTATGTCAGATAATCTATAAATTTAAAATCAAACAAAAAGAGTTTACCCAGCAAGCAGTAGCATTTAAAATAGAAAATAATACACCGCAAAAGTTATGTTTTATCAAAAGCTGAAAAAAAAAACCAAAATGGTACTCAAGCACCAGGAAGATGGACTTCCTTCCCTTACAAAGAATGGTCAATCATGGCCTGGATTCTCCAGCTTTAACATTTTTTTAAGGGCTTTAAAATCTGGAATCATAAATAAATCCCTCAAAAAGCAAAAACAAAAAACAAAATTAAAAACAAACAACCTCACAACCTTGAAGTATAATCTATAAATTTAAACCATACTTACTTCTGCCTTTTAATATAAAAAAGCTACATTTAAAAAAAAATTTTTTAACATTTATTTATTTTTGAGAGACAGAGAGTGAGCAAGGGAAGGGCAGAGAGAGAGGGAGACACAAAACCTGAAGCAGGCTCCAGGCTCTGAGCTGTCAGTACAGAGCCCAATGCAGGGCCCAAACCCAAAACCGGGAAATCATGACCTGAGCTGAAGTTCAATGCTTAACCGACTGAGCCACCCAGGCACCCGGAAAGCTACATTTCTAAACTTTATCTAGATGAGATCTAACTCCATTTTTAAAGGTAAAGCAAAGGAGTACAAACTAGGCACATGTTTTTAAATCCATATAGACGTTAAAATGCTTTTTAAAAATCTCACTATACTCTGAGCAATTATAGAAATTACTTTAAGTTTTTCTCCATTAGAAAATTGGCCCTAAAAAAAATTAAAAATTAAAACAAAAATCCCATTTAATTTTGCCTTTTTCCTAATAATTTTCATCCCTTCTCAGACTATAGAGAGGATGTGGTTTCCAAAGGAACAGATCTCTTTAATTAGGTTAAGGTTATTTCCTAAATATAGCCAGTGTTAGAAGGCAGAACAAACAGCAATATAGTGACCATATGCTACATACAGCTTTCACTTGCCATTAGAAGATGGGCTTTTGAGACAGGCATTCTTCTTGTACAGCCACTGTCTGTGTGCTACAGCTCAGAGGTCAATGATGTTCTTTAACACTGTAGTGAGCAACCTCTAAAACAGTCCCAATAATCCTAACCTGGTAATTCCCTCCCCTAGACCTAATGACTCACTTTTAACAAACAGTACATCAAATAATGGGATGTCATCTCTAGGATTAGGTGACAAAAAGATGAGAACTTCTGTGTTGCTCACCCTCTCCTGCTCTTTTCATTTTTTCTGACTGAAGCCATCTCCCTATTGAGAGGCAAGAGACAGTGCAGCCTCTGACCAACTGCCAGCTAGAAACTGCAGCCCTCAGACCTGAGGCCTGTAAGATTAATCCTACCAAAAACGATATGAATGAGATTGGAGACAGATCCTCTCCCAGTCTCACTTTGAGAGCACTGCAGCACTAGTCAACCCCTTTACTGTCTTGTGAGAGATCGGAGCCAGGGAACCTGATAAACCATGCTCAGATTCCTGACCCACAGAAACTGAGATAATTTTTGCTGTTTTAGGCTGCTAATTTTGTTACAGAGCAATATATAATTAACTCGAGTTCCATAAAATTCCAACATTTTATTCCATTGCAAACTGGGTACTATCAAGAAATGCTAGTTATGTATTTTTAAAAGCACAATTACATACGTTGATTTTTAAAAGTTAATGAACAAAGCACATGCTTTCACCTACTAATAGATATTTACTTTGTTCATTTGTACTGTTTTCTATTGCAAATTAGGGAAAAGTCCTTAATACTAGATACTAGCAACAGAACAATTAGATTCTAGGCATGGAAAAACAATTTTGCAGAACAGGATTAAAGCAGCATTGCTTTAAGAACTATAATCTCAATTACATTATAGTTCAAGCCAAACGGAACAGAGTATTTTTAAAGCACTTTACCAAGTATTCTTTGAAGAACAAAAAATTGTACTGAAGGAGGATATCATTGTATCTATTTGGTAATGGTTTATTTTGTTTTCCCACTCCTCTAATTCTCATGGTGTCCCAAATCTCTACACAGACAAAAAGAAACTTGGTCTTCAAAATTAATCCTATTCTCAAAGAAAACTATTTATCGAGTATTGCATTTTCTCCTTCAAATTCTTCAGCCAAGTTTAGGAACATACCACTAGACCTTAGTTTTGTATTTGCAACCTTAAAAACAACAGTAACAACAACAAAACCTAGATTTAGAATTTCACTGTGTAGATTACTTCTACATAAGCAAAATAAAATATATGAACTGTTGCTCTGGACTAAAACCCCTTAAAACCATATTATGAGAACTGTAACAACAAAAATTATTGAGACCAGTTACCACCCATGACATGTTCTTCCATTCCTATACATGAGAAGGTAGGATATATAGTTGATCTAAGCAACTATGTCAACAATTTTCAAAGTGGGGCCCCTTGAACCCCTAGATCCAAACTACTTCTACAAGAATATAAACTGCCTTTTTCAATGTATTGACATTTGCACTAAAGGTATGCATACAATGGTGTGTAAAACTGGTGGAACCTTAGCACAAATAAAGGCAGTGACACCAAACTATACTTATAGTCATGGTATTCTTCACCACTATGCATTCAAGATATTTAAAGCACAAAGAAAAAGTTGTTTTAGTTAAGATTATCTGTGAAGAAGTTATTTTACTAAACCTCAAATCCTTACATAGGTCTTTTTAATATGCCAACTGATGAAATGGAATGCACACATGAAAACTCCTACAGAATACTTGAGAAAAAGCATTTACGTGACCGAGCTGTGAAGTAAACTAACCACTTTAATGGAACACCAATTTTACTTCAAAGGATGACTGATAGACAATGGTTATTTCAACTTGGGTTTTTGACAGAGGTTTTCTCAAAAAAAAAAAAAAAAAAAAAAAAAAAAAAAAAAAAAAAAAAGGGTGTTATTTCAAGGAAAACAAAAGACAGTATTTATTATTGCCAATAATAAAATTCAAGCTTTCAAGCAAAAATTAGAATTTTTGAAAACCTGTATCTACCACCATGAGCTGGAGAGCTTTATCTTAACAGAATGCTTTCATGTTATATAATAAACATATCAACATTTAGAAGATTTCAGTGAACGTATTTTCCAAATAACCAATGGATGTTATAAATCATGCAAGGGGGCAGGGGATGGGCTAAATGGGTGATGGGCATTAAGGAGGGCACTTGTCTTGATGAGCACTGGGTATTATATGTAGGTGATGAAAATTCTACTCCTGAGGCTATTATACTATATGTTAACTAACTAGAATTTAAATAAAAATTTGGGGGAAAAAAAACACGCAAGAGTAAAAGATCCATCCATTCACAGTTCAAGAAAAACCTACTTTTGGTGAAGTATTCAAAAAGAATAACTATAATTGTTTAAATGGCTATTAAAATATTTCTACTTTTCCAACCAAGTGTCTGTGAGAGGCTGAATTTTCTTCATAATATTTCATTCAAAACAACATATCCCCACAGAGTGAATGTAGAAAGAAATGACAGGCCAGACATCAAAGACATTTATCAGAAATGTAAAATTATGCCACTATTCTCACTAAAATGTTTTGGTGTAGAAAATGTAGCCATTTTTCATAATAATATTTTTATTAACATGTAATGGTTTATTTCATAGAATATTTTAAATATTTGTTTTAATTTCTAATGATAAATATTAACATATAACCTACAAAAACAAAGGCTCCTTGGGCCCTCAGTATACTTTTAAATAGTATAAAGGAATCTGGACTCCAAAAAGAAGAGCTAACTTCTCCACACCTCCTCCCACTTGGCCCAGAATGTCTTCCTTGGAAGAAACATCCCTTCACCATTCTATATTAACCGATGTGGTTCCACTGGAGCTAGTTTTCCTAACTCCTTCCCATCCTCCTACCTCTTTCCCTTGACTCAAAACTTGGTCATAGGGCTCTAATGAGCCCATTCCACTCCCAGTGATTAGCGGTCAGGTGGGCTTAACCAGGCAAATCTAGGTCTTCTCTGGGACTAAAATTCTCTTTCTGGGAGATCTGGAGTCATAAGGACAATGCTGGCCAGCCTGGGGTAGCCAGCATTTATCTTACCAAAACAAAAAGGGTTTACGTAAACCCTTTTCTAAAAGGTCATAGATACTAGTATTTTCTGCCATGACGTGAGACTGCACACTTGCTAACATTTTTGCCAATCTGTTAAATAAAAGGTTCTACCTGGAAAGGGAAAAAAGTTCCTATACAATATAATTTGTTAGAGCTCCAGAAACCAGTTCATCAGTAAGAATGGAATGCTATCACTTCTAGGAAAGTCTCAAAGGATAATGTCCTCCATGCACAAGAATTTAGCTCTAGCTATTTATGTCCAAAACATTACTTAAAATAGAAAAAAAAAAAAAAAAAAAAAAAAAAAAAAAAAAAAAAAAAAAAAAAAAAAAAAAAAACAAACAATAGAAATCACCTATACGTCCAATACCAGGAAACATGACAAACTCCATGTTACAGTCCTACAATAGAACACTACATGATAATGGAGGACATTATAGAGGAATAACTTATGACAGAGCTACAATTCTGTCAAGTAAAAAAACAGATTACAAAACAATCTGACATTTAAGGGAGAAGAAGTCTATATAAGCATAGGAGAAAAGACAAGATATATATCAAAAATTTGATAGTAGTGTCTTCTGAGTGGTAAAATTACAGGTGATTTTTTTTTTCCCATTTGTGCTTATCTGGTTTCTCAATCTCTTACAATAATAATGTCTTGTTTTCTACATTATA